ACCCTGAGCTGCACAGACTGCCGTAGGAGCATTAGCTCACGTAATCTTCCCCACAACCCCACGAGGAGGCATAACTGACATGATTTATCTGCCCGCATGACTTAACAGCCCTGGAAACTTATGCTCACTCCTGGCTACAACATGCCCATTGAAGAGCCTTCTTAAAATGTTATATAGAAAAGAACAGGAGTGTCTTCTCTTTGGATCCTGCATGAGGCTTGCTGCTCCCAGGGACCATCTCTGCAGCTGTGTGCAGAGGCCCTACCTAGGAAAGGCACTAAAGCATCCAGAGGGCCCAGAGCCAAGAGCAGGGGAGAAAGAGCACTGACCTCACTGGAGAACCCAGGCCCAGTGATGCCTGAAGGAACCGACCATTATAGCCACACAAAATTCTTGCTAACCCCAGCTAATCTGGTTTGGCTTCCACTGCCAAAGGCACATGAATACTAGGTAAGACTATATTATGCCCGGATACAGTTGCACAGCATCCTTACATAAAGTATGGAAGGGCCCCAGCCACCTTTTAAATTTTTAAACAGATGAAGAGCCAGAGGCTCAGAAAGGTAAGGGGAACGGCTCCTGTCACACAACCAACAACAGTTCTTGTTAGTGCACCGGAGGTCCTCAACAGGAGAGCAAGGTTGTGACACAAGAGTAACAGTGAGGCTGGCCCCGACAGGAGAGACCGGAGAAAGGCCTTGAACAGTGCGCTCCATCAAACAATCCAGTGGGCTGTGTTCACATCGTGGTGAATCACAACAAACTGGAGTGTCTCCGTGGATCCGGCAGGCGGACTGTTGGGGAGCACAGAGAAAACACGGCTTGCTCCAATCCAAACCAGGAAGCCTCGTTAGTCAGGGCTCAGAGTCACAAATGAGAGAAGATCAGTAACAAACTGGCTTAAGTACAAAGGGAATTTATTGGCTCACATAACTGAAAAGTCCAGAAGAAAAATTGCTTCAGGAAAGACTGGATCCAGGAGCTCAAATGATATCATTAGGGCTGTGGGTTTCTCTCTCCCTCATTCTCCACTGTGTTGTCACCATGTGGATCTTCCCACGTAAGAGCAAAGACAGCCACCGACAATGCCAAGTGCCTAGCATACCTCATATCCACTCGAGAATGCTATCTTCAACTCTTATGGTATCAGTTTGGCCTCACACCCTTCTCTGACCCAACTATGAGGGCCAAGGAATGGAACAAGCTCACTGTCCAGGCCTGATCATGTGTCCTGCTCTGGAAACCAGGACAGGCAGTGGCAGGGTCAGTCACACCAAACTACAGGGACAGGTTTGGAGGGATATGTGGGAAGAACCTGCCAAGAAAGACGGGGGCAGTGTTTGCCCCAAGGAGGAAGAGAAGCCTGGTGGGCATGGTAGGCAACTTCCCAGATGAGCCCCTACAACCCCAGCCTCCGGGCCTGCGGACCTCAGTGGAGCTATACGACAACAGAATACAGCAGAAGTCGTCGTGTCTCATTTCCAAGACTAGGTTATAAAAGACAAAGTGGCTCCCATGTTGGGTGTGTTCTCTCATTCCTGAGTTACTCGCTCTGGGAAGCCAGCTGCTGTGTTGTGAGCAGCCCTTTGGAGAGGCCCACGTGAAGAGGAACTAAAGCCCCCTGCCAGCAGCGACCTGAGTGAGCTTAGGCTTTCAGATGACTACAGCTCCAGCCAACAGCTTGACTGCAACCTTTGAGAAACTCAGAGCCAGAACCTATCAGCTGAGCCATTCCCACATCCCAAACTCACAGAAATTGTGGAGGACCATAAATGTTTGTTGTTTTAAGCTGCCAAGTTTGGAGACAATTTGTTACATAGCAAGAGATAACTAATACAATGAACATAAAAAGAAACATCTCCCCAACAATCCAACAACCCTGTTCACATGCTTCTCTCAAAGGTACTTCATGCCGATGTGTATCATCTTTTCTGTGAACACCTAGCTCATACGCACATTTTTGTCATTCAATGGAAAGTAAAGCAACCAATTACTTAGGGAACAAGATTTACTTTCCTGAACTGCTACTGATTGTAATGCCTCTGCCTCAAAACTGAGCAGCCCCTGGGGGCCACACAAGCACTGGGCTGGCTACGGGGCCTTGCTCTTGGTTGGGCCACGATAGCACAAAAGGAAAGCCATTAATTTTGAGCAAAAAAGAAAGAAAAAGAAAAGAAATGTGTAATAAAATGCTCAGTTTGTTCAGGGATGTTCCAGTTTTACAACTAGCATATACTCAGAGCCAGTAAAACAGTCATACACACAAATACACTTTAAGAGTATTTATAGCATAAATAATTTTTGAGTCTGAAACAGCTTAGTACTTCATTCTTTCTGCACCACTGCCATTAAACTATAACTTCTGATTAGGCAAGGTTTCGTAGTAATATAATTATTATGTGTAAGAAAAATGATAATGATAGTTAACATTTATTGAGCACTTATGGAACATATTTACTAGCTGACATATGCTCTCTCATTTTATTGTGCATCAACCTTTATCAACCCTATGAAGCTCAGAGTTTTAGTTTTCTTGTCCCCAATTTATAACTAAGGAAATAGAAACAGAGAAATTAACTAACTTGCTCAAGGTCACACAACTAATGAGCAGTACAGCCCCAGTGAGACCCCTGCAGTCCAATGCCAGAATCCTCGCCACCCACCACTAGGCTAAACCACCGACATTATGATACCTGCCACCTGAGCACACATGGACCTGAGAACAGGGTGGCCCCAATGAACACACACAGGCCTGGCCTCCAGCCCCACTGCCCCACTGCCCCACTGCCCCACCTTGCCTGTGCCCCACTGCCCCAAGGAACAACTGACCACTCAGGACCATCATCTGATATCACTGACAGTTGCTCCTTCTGTGGCAAGAAGAAAGTTCTGACAGTTGGCAAAGATTAACTCTGCCTGGAACATGTCAGCAATGGAAGTTTTCAAAATGTACATGTCCAGCCTCTCTGCTTGCTTTCTTCCTGTTTTTTTCCTGAAATATTTGCTTATTTTACAGATGCTCCTTCTACCTGTAAACTACAAACTTTTAGGCACCTCAAACTCTAGTTACCCATTGTTTAAATGAGGAGACTTCAGATTATAAAATTGCTTAGTTAAGGAAATTTTTTCTACTCCATTCACAGGCTAAAATTTTTCTAAGAATTATCATATACTAAAATATGCTTCCCGTAAAGTACACTTGCAATAGCTTGCTCATATCCAGAGGCTTCTGTACTTCCACCTGTACTCTTCCTCATTCGATCCTCTCAGGTGGATAAATAAGATTCGCCTTTCCGTTTTATCAAGGAGGGAATGCACACTTGTGGAAGTTAAGCCGCTCACCCAGAAGCACACAGTCTTCAAGCAGTGGAGCAGGGACTCACGGCTGAGCTGACTCCTAACACAATCCGAAAGTGACAGAGAATATATCTGTCTCTCTCTGATGATTCAGAACCAGGGTCTCTATCGACTTCATCCTTCATTGTGAACAAGCACCATTACTCCACAGAACCCTGGCATGGCCAGGGAAAATGGCAGTACAGCTGACAACACACCAAATTGGGCACCAATTACTGTTATTTGTTATTGCCATTTAACTGTCTCTGACGCCCTTGAGACGTCATTTTTAAATGTAAAGAAAGAAGTTCCAACTGAAGTTAAATATGGGACGGCGGTACCAACCTTCCATCACACACACAACAGTCACCCCAGTGACACCCGCACGCATGGCACCGGGCACCGGAACGACGTGTGCACTGCTGGGAGCCACCTCACTCCCCACCCCCCTGCACAGCCTACCTCCTGACCTCATTTTAAAGTAGTTTAAAATTGCATCCAATAAACTCTTTACCTTAACTAAAACAGGGAAAACTAGAACTCAAATGTCCACTGAATGCTTATTTTAGTATAGTGCATCAGTTCAACAAAACACCACATCCGCACAAACAGAAATGGTTAACATGGAGCTTAAGTGGTGGAGACAGCCAGGCTAAGCAATGACAGGCTATAGATTAAGTACAGTACATGGAAATAGCTTTCTATGTGAACAAGTTTTGTACAGATGCATGTTTTTATGGAAGCCTGGATTTTAGGAGGTTCACTTTTATAGTTTTCTTTAATAAGACATAAACAAAACCACAGAAAAATAAAATGGCTCTTAAATAAAAATAGGCTGAACCATGCTCTTCATTAAGGAAATGCAAATGAAAAATAACCTACGAGAGCCATTTTTCACCTGCAGTATTACCAAAGGCCCAGGGGTTGGAGCCGACCCCTGTGGCACAGCTGTGCAGTCATGCCCTCTCCCCTCTCCTGCGGAACGTATATCGGCTCAGCCTCTGTGGAGGGCAAGTTGATGAACTCTATCCAACTGAGAAAAGCACAGAACTTTGAGCCTGCAGTTCTACTTCCAGGAATATTTCCAACAAACACAGTCATATAAGAGCAAAATAATAAATGTGATGGTTATTTACAGTAGCGTTATTAGAAGTCGCAAAAGACTAAAATCCACCTCAATGCCTAGCTGTTGGCACACTGGTCAGATGAATTCTGGTGCAGTCAATGAAATATGAGCTATTACAGATGGCAGCCCTGTGTACACCAACACAGAACAATCTCTACAATGTGAAGTGGGTGTTGTGGAGTATCAGTCACCATTGTGCATTAAGGAAAGAAAGAATAAAGGGAGGCAGAGAGGGAAACAAAAAAGTATATGTGCACGCTTCAGCTTGTGTATGCATGGAGCATCCTGAAATCAGTAATACTGCCCACCTCCAGAGGCAAACTGGGTCACTGGAGATTGCACACTTTAACCATTTATATTTTGAACCATGTGCATACATGTTATTCAATATGTGTTCAGTAAAATAATAAAATTTCAAATGCACAAACTTTATTGCCATTGGTCACTATCTTCTTTTGATTAAAAAGTGTTGTAAATGTGTGCCTGGGCTTTAATAAAGCCTCCCCACACCTACCTCCCAGCTCCGCTGCCCTCCTACCTTGCCAGTGCCTGGATCTTTGTGACGTGCCGCTCCTCCTGTTCGGCCACCTTCCTTTTCAAGGTGTCGACCTCCTGCCGGAGGGCAGCCGAGTGCTCCATCTCACCGTCCAGCAGGTTCCGCAGCGATCTGGGAAGAGGAGAGCCTGTCTGTTCAGATGCCATTACGTCCACCAAGCCCAGAACACAGCTATTTACCTAAGTCAAGTGCTAATTTATTAGGTTTCCATATGGCTCTGCATCAATCATAATTCAAGTCTGCATCCTGTATGAATACACACCTAAGGAGGTACCAAATTCTGCTCAACAACCTCAGAGTACTAATTAAAATGAGCCCTATGGGAACTACCTGTGGCCCAGGTTCTATGTCTCAATAGCCTGTGGGCAGCTTTTTAATTTAATTATTTTATTTTATTTTATTTTAATTATTTGTTATTGATTACGCTATCACAATTGTCCCAATTTGGCCCCTTTGCCCCCTCCACTCAGCACCCCTCATTCCCTCAGGCAGTCCCCTCACCATTGTTCACACCCATGGGTCAGGTGTATGAGTTCTTTGGCTACTCCATTTCCTGTACTGTACTTTACACCCCCATGACTATTGTGTAACTACCTATTTGTACTTCTTAACCCCCTCCCCTCTTCACTCATTTCCGTAGACCCTCCTGCCATCTAGTAACCATCAAAACACTCCCTGTATCCATGATTCCATCTCTATTCAAATCAAGAGTAGCAATGTGTTGAGCAAATCCCAGGCAAGTCCCTTTACAGACCTCCCACTCTAAGGTACAGCACATTCAACTCAGGCCCTTTTGTCACAGCCACACTGAAGAAGAGATTTAACGAAGGAACAAATGTCAGTTCAGAGCAAAAGAATTATCTGAGCCCTAAAAATGGAATCCGGACTCAGATGACCTGACAGACGTCCCGCCTTTCCACTCCTACCCACCAAACGCACTGTGACCCTGTCCCTCTGCCCTCTCCAGGTTAAACAAGCATATACAGAATTTTATAGAGCTGTATAGTTTGATACTGCATATATCATATTTTCTATTATATTTGGAGTTTTTTAACCCTCTGAAACACATTCACTTGTGAATTTGTCATCCTTGGTCTTAAGTAGCAGAGAAGATTGCAGCTCTTCCAGAGATACCCATAAATTAGCACCTAGAAGTGAGCCAAATATGATTCCACTGACCATTTACTTCACTGGACCTCAAATGGGCATTTCTAGAAAATATTTACTGACTTTGGTGCACCTGCCTCCCAAATCTAGAGGACACTTGCCATGTGATATCAGAACATAAGCAGAAGTGTCTGACCCCCTGACCCCACTGTTCATCAAACCCTCCAAGGCCTGTATTCCTTAGAGTTTTGAGAAAACTCCCTTCTTGGGGCCTGGGGCCCCCTGACACAAATCATGGTATGACATTTTTCTTTCTCTGGGAAGAAGAATTTGACAGACAGTGACTATTGTTTCTCACAAGGCAAGACAACCTACAGCTTCTTCCAAGACAACAGCTTCCGCTGAAGCAAGGGAAGAAAAATCCTACAATATCTAACAAGCTCTTTGTTGAAAGTTTTAGTTGGAAAATTGTGCTATCTAAAGATTCTGCTTTTAAAAATTCTCTTTTGTTTTAGAAATCATGCTTGTTTGCATTTAAAGGATGAGGGAGAAGCTTGTCAAGCAGGGCCCAAAACAAGGTTTAAAAAGAACAATCATGATCACATGTCACCATGGATGCTTAATTCTTGCTCCGAGTAAAACAACAAAAGGGTGACATGAGCCAACACCCAGACATGTGCGTGCACAATACTGGCACAGCCAAAGCACCCCTAACCCCCAGGGAGGCAGCCCGATACCCGTGGGCAAACCCCTCTACTGACCACTGTGTAGCCAAGACAAGGTGCTGGCGGTTGAGAAGCTCCAGCTCAGGCAGCCAGATCACAGCGACATGGATGATGCCTGCCGGTTATCTAGCACTGATTTCAACTGGGAATAAAAGACAAAGAAAACCCTTTTCCCTCTCAGTGTCTGCCACTGAGCTTTTGGGGAGTGAAAAAAATTCAAATGCCTTCTTATCTGAAGTACCCCTTATTTGAGATAACTCTAAGACAAGTAGTCGAAGTGCCTGGAACATGGTAGGCAGGCCTCAGTTAAAGGCCACTCGAAGGACTGCAGGACCGGGTCGGCGGGTGACAGCTAACAGTGTACGGGGTTCCCAGCCACCTGATGGAAATGTTCTAGAGTCGAGGTGGTGGCTGCACACAGCTGTGAAGGCACTAAATGGATGAATTGTGTGGTATGTGAGCTGTATCTCAATATGGCTGTTTTTAGAAGAGCTTCACCAAATTTTTAATTTGTTCTAAGGTGGTGCCATGATTGTAAGGTTTTCATTCCTTCCTAACACTCAGACTACATATATATACCAAAGTGGTACTTTGCAGACAAAATAAAAAATCATTGGTCACAATTTTGCCAACAAAGCAAAATGTCTTTCCTCTGTGATATTCTCTCTGTCCTAGAGCTAGAATGTCAAAGGAAGAGGCCCTGCCTCCAGCCTGAAGATCACAATACCTGTTCTCCTCCTCCAGCTCATCTTTCCTGTTCATCATCACCACGATGGCTTGTCGCAGTTCATCTACGAGAAGAAGGCAAAGTCAAAATCAGTCAGCAGACCTCACCTGCTACACCGTCCTCTCATCAATCTGGATTATACGCTATTTAGTGCAGCTCATCTAGACAAGTTCCCTTTTCCTTTAAAAAATAATTCCCATACAGTCTAAGTTACCCAGTGGTCTCAGTTGACCATTAGTATTAGCCATACAAAACACAAGGGTAGGGCAGAATGAGAATAAATGTGGAGGTGATTCCCTGGTGAATATACTCAGCCACACTGGAAAAATAACAGGCTTGTGATTTCTAAGTGCTTTTCCAAGTCCCTGCTACAGGACAGCATCTGTTTTGAACAATGATATATTCCCAGTAACAGTCGTCTATCAACAGCAGATCAGACAGCAGATCAAGTCCAGGTTGACATAAAACTACTCAAGTTTACTGAGATACGGGATTTTCCCACACCAATTCCTATAGTTAGTATACAGGTGAAGGCTTTCCAAAACACAGTCCATAATTACTTACAGGAGCTACTCTTCTGATTATCTCCTACAAAGAAAAGAATTCTCTGATAGGAAACCTATCTACATCAAACAATGGTTATCGCTTGTCCATCCACATACTAAAGACAATGTTTACCATATCTCTCAGATGTCAAAACCAAGAACTGTTTTTTTATTGCTGTTCAACTACAGTTTTCTCCACTTTCTGCCTTCCATTGCCCCCCATCTCATGCATCCCCACCTCCCACCCTCCTTCCTACCCCGCTTTGTCTCTTCCATAAGTTCTTTATACATGTTCCTTGATGACCCTTCCCCACGCTACCCCATTATCCCCCTCCCCTCTGGTTACTGTCACTTGGTTCTTTATTTCAATGTCACCGGTTAGATTTTGCTTGCTTGTTTGTTTTGTTGATTAGGTTCCATTTATAGCTGAGATCATACATTGTTTGTCTTTCATCACCTGATTTATTTAACTTAGCATAATACTCTCCAGATCCATCCATGCTATCGCAAAGGGTAGGAATTCCTTCTTTCTTCCTGATGCATAGTATTTCACTGTATAAATGTATCATAGTTTTTTGATCCACTCGTTTACTGATGGGCACTTAGGTTGCTTACAACACTTGGCTATTATAAATTGTGCTGCTATGAACATTGGGGTACATAAATTCTTTTGAATTGGTGTTTCAGGTTGCTTAGGGTAAAGGGAGCAGAAGCATAAAACAGAATAAAAGTAACCTCTTCAACACATGGTGTTGGGAGATCTGGACAGCTACATGCAAAAAAATGAAACTCAAACACCAACTTATACCATACACAAAAATAAATTCAAGATGGATAAAAGACTTAAATATATGTCACAACACCATGTAAGTCCTGGAGGAGAACATAGGCAGGAAAATGTCAGACATTCTACACACCAATATTATCACCAATATGTCCTATAGACCCAGGGACATAAAGAAAAGAATAAACAAATAAGACTTCATCAAATCAAAAAGCTTCTGCAATGGCTAAAGAAAACATCAGCCAAATGAAAAGGGAACTAACCATATGAGAAACATATTTGCCAATGATATCTCAGACAACAGTTTGATCTCCAAAATATATAAAGAATTCCTGACTTCCGCCAAGATGGAGGCATAGGTGGAGACGCTGTGCTTTCTCACACAACCAAGTTTAGAGACAACTAAATATTAGCAACAGAAAACACAGCCAGAACACAGAAAATTGAACTTTTCAGAAGTCTGTTAACAACAAATTCTTCAGCCTGACCGGTAAGTAGGGCGAAACCAGCAGCTGGCGGAGCGGGGTTGCACAGGAGGGCTCGGTCAGACGGACTCAGGCGCATGGAATCCAGGAGCAGGGTTGCAACAGGTGGACCTAGGGAGAGACCCAGTGAGCAACCGCGGGGAAACAGCAAGGGAGCAGGGCTGCGGTTGACTGTGGTCGCGCATTTGTGTGCAGACAGACAAGCCAGAGAGTGGGCAATTGGACGAACCCGGCGGGTCCCTGCGGCAACTGGCAGCAGAAGGCGCCGCCATTTCCCTGCTCTGACCCCGCCTCCACATACAGCGTCATAACCCAGCAACTCTGAGTGGCCCCGCCCTGGTGAACTACCTAAAGCGCTGCTCCTCACCCAGCGGCGAGGAACAGCAGAGGGAGCCGCCATTTCCCAGCTCTGACCACACCCCCACATACAGCATCACAACCCAGCGACCTGGGAGTCCAAGGCTCCGCTCCTCATACTTAAAGGGTGCAAACAGACCAAAAATGGCTCAAGAAGATCTCAAAGCCCCAGAGCCTATAAATCTAAGCGATGAAGAAATAGCAAAACTCTCAGACGCACAGTTTAAAACACTGGTGATCAGGATCCTCACAGAACTGGTTGATTATAGCCACAAATTAGACAAACATATGAAGGCGAAACTAATTGAAATGAATGGAATTGCACAGGACACCAATAGCAATGAAAAGGAAACTGGGACTCAAATCAATGGAGGGGACCAGAAGAAAGCAAATAATGGCCAAACAGAAAAGAGTGAAGAAGCAAGAATTCAAAAAAATGAGGAGAGTCTTAGGAACCTCCAGGACACCTTTAAACGCTCCAACATCTAAATTATAGGGGTACCAGAAGGGGGAAAGGAACAGCCACCAGTGGAAAACTTATTTGAACAAATAATAAAGGAGAATTTCCCCAATCTGGCAAAGGAAATAGACTTCCAGGAAATCCAGGAAGCTCAGAGAGTCCCAAAGAAGTTGGACCCAAGAAGAAACACACCAAGGCACATCATCATTACATTAGCAAAGATAAAATGAAGGAGAGAATCCTAGAAGCAGCAAGAGCTAAGGGGACAGTCACCTACAAAGGAGTTCCCATCAGACTGTCAGCAGATTTCTCAAAAGAGACCTTACAGGCAAGAAGGGGCTGGAAAGAGGTATTCCAAGTCATGAAATCCGAAGACCTACAACCAAGATTGCTCTATCCAGCAAAACTTTCATTTAGAATGGAAGGACAGATAAAGTGCTTCTCAGATAAGATCCAATTCAAGGAGTTCATCATTACCAAGCCCTTATTATATGAAATGTTAAAGGGACTTACCTAAGAAAAAGAAGTTAAAAAAACATGAACAGTGAAAGGACAGCAAACTCACAGTTACTAACAACCATACCTAAAACAAAAGCAAACTAAGAGGACAGATAGATCAGGAGTGGAAACATAGAAATGACGATCTCAAGGAGGGTTAGCAACAGGGGAGTGGGAGGAGGAGAAGGGGGGAGAAGGTACAGAAAATAAGTAGCATAGACAATAGATAGAAAATAGATGGGGGGCAAGAATAGTACGGGAAATATAGAATCTAAAGAACTTGAGACACATGGTCATAAACTAAAGGGGGATAATGGTGGGGATAGGGGGTAGGGTGAAGGGGAATGAAGGGGGGAATAGAACAACTGTAATGGCATAATCAATAAAAAAATAAATTTTAAAAAAAGGTGAAAAAAAACTATGGTATATTTACACAATGGAATACTACACAGCAGAGAGAAAGGAGCCCCTACCCTTTGAGACAGCATGGATGGAACTGGAGAGCATTATGCTAAGTAAAATAAGACAGGCAGTGACAGACAAATTCCATATGATCTCACCTTTAAGTGAGACATAATCGACAAAACAAACAAACAAGCCAAATATAACCACAGACATTGAAATTAAGAACAATCTAACAGTAATCCCCCCAGTGGGGGATAATGGGGGGAAGGGTTTTCAGGAACAACTATAAAGGACACGTGGACAAAACCAAGGGGGATTGGAAGCAGGGGAGGGAAGTGGGGATGGCTGGGGTGGAGGGTAGTGGTGGGGGGTAAATGCAGACAATTGTACTTCAACAAAAATAAAATAATTTTTTGAAAAAAGAAAGTTTTCATCTAAAAAAATAAAAAATAATAAAGACAAAACAAACAAACAAAAAAAGAATTTCTATGACTCCACTCTAGGAAGACAAACAACCCAATAAAAATTTTTAAGAAAAAAAGGCCAATACAACCACCCACCCAAACAACCCAATTTAAAAACCAAAAAAAAAATGGGCAAAGGACCTGAATAGACACTTCTCTAAGGAGGACATACAAAGGACCCAGAAACATATGAAAATATGCTCAGCATCACTAGCCATCAGAGAGATGAAAATTAAAACCACAATGAGATACCACTTCACACTGGTCAAAGTGGTCAAATCAACAAACAACAAGTGCTGGTGAGGCTGCGGAGAAAAGAGAACCCCAGTGCACTGTTGGTGGGAATGCAGACTGGTACAGCCACTGTGGAAAACAGTATGGAATTTCCTCAGAAAACTAAAAATGGAACTGCCTTATGACCTGGCAATTCCACTGCTGGGATTATACCCTAAGAATCCTGAAATACCAATCCAAAAGAACCTATGCACCCCAATGTTCATAGAAGCACAATTTACAAAAGTCAAGTATCAGAAGCAACCTAAGTGCCCATCAATAAATGAGTGGATCAAAAAACTATGATACATTTATACAACGGAATACTATGCAGCAGAAAGAAAGAAGGAATTCCCACCCTTTGCAACAGCATGGATGGATCTGGAGAGCATTATGCTAAGTGAAATAAGCCAGGTGGTGAAAGACAAATAACATATGATCTCAGCTATAAGTGGAACCTAATCAACAAAACAAACAAGCAAGCAAAATCTAACCGGTGACATTAGAATAAAGAACAAAATGACAGTAACCAGAGGGGAGGTGGTAGGGGGAAATGGGGGAAAAGGGGAAAGAGTCAAGTCAAGGAACATGTATAAAGGACCCATAGACAAAGCCAAAGGTGGGTAGGATTCAACGTGGAAGGTGGGGATGACTGGGATGGGGGGAGTGGTGAGGGAAAAATGAAGACAACTGTATTTAAACAATAAAAAAAGAAGAAAAAAAAAGTAGTCAATCCTATGTTCATCGCAACGTTATTTACAATAGCCAAGATTTGGAAGCAGCCCAAGTGTCC